AAGTGAAGCAAGTTGGACAACATTCGTTAGACGAAGATGGTTTCTTTTTATCAGTGAAATCCAGAAGGTCACAAAATACAAGGGAGGTAGCTTGTAGTTTTAACAAAACGGATTTGTTAATCTCATTTCTGCACATCAAAAACCTTTTTTATAAACTGAACACTAGTTTTCTTGCCTTGACTGCCTCTAAGCGTCAATTCAACGGTGCTGGATTATTATTTACCGCAAAACTAGGTAGAATAAAGTTTACCAACTTTAAAAACCAACGGCTTTTTTAAATTAATTAAAGGTTAATAGTGTAAAGATATACAGAAGAGAATAAACCACGTTGTTTATGTTTTGCTATTCGATAACTCTGTTATCTGACAATGGCTGTTAAAAAAGTAACGAGGTAACTTTTACTCTTAGTACATATTTAATGAGCTATATTTCACTTTTACTTGAGTAAAATTTTTGATTGGTAACAGTTACTTGTATTTGAGTAAAATTTCAGTCAAGTAACACTTTTACTTGAGCACAAAATTTTGTTACTTTTTCTAGCTCTGCACCGGAGCAAAAGTTTTTAAAAATTTACCGAAACATTCAAAAGTTAAAAGTTATCATTTAAAAGAAACATTCAAAAGTTGTCAGCGCGCTGATAACTTTATAAATATTTAATTAATTAAAAATGATATTTATATATCTTTAAGCTTAAACATTTCAATGTGCTTAAGTGTGTTTATGCGATAGTTAAAACAAAAATAATTATTTTTTTCATTAAATTGTAATGTGAAAGTAGACATACGGACGATAAACAGTGAAATTCATTCTTAATTCAATATCCAGGAAAAAATGTACTATTATATTTTTTAATTTTTGAAAATCACTTTTTTTTTCATTTGTAGTAGTATATACTATATTATATTTCACATATCCAATGAACACATAAACCTTTATTAAAATCGAAGTGAAGTGCTCAGTGATTCTACTGCAAATGAAACGCTCCATACTGTGTTTTGAAATGAAAACCATTTTTAGATATGGAAAAATAGAAATATTTCTTGTTTAGCAGATAGTAGGATACCACGGTTTGTTAATAAACTCTTCATATATATATATATATATATATATATATATATATATATATATATATATATATATATATATATATATATATATATATATATATATATATATATATATATATATATATATATATATATATATATATATATATATATATATATATATATATATATATATATATATATATATATTGAGCACTTCGATTTTAACATATATATATATATATATATATATATATATATATATATATATATATATATATATATATATATATATATATATATATATATATATTGAGCACTTCGATTTTAACATATATATATATATATATATATATATATATATTTTAATATATATATATATATATATATATATATATATATATATATATATATATATATATATATATATATATATATATATGTTCGTTTTCAAAAAATATGTATAATACAGCACATTGATGTTGAAAAATTATATTTATAACACAAAAAAGATGTTGAGCATTCTTTATATAGAAGATTGCGTAGCAAACATATCTAGTTGCATCATTATTTATTACTAGACATAATTCAAACCATTTTACATTTAATAATAATAATTCATTATTGAAATCAAATCATGAATTTGATTTCAAAGAACTCCTTAAATTCTTTTTCATACATTTATATAACTTTACTCATCTATATCTTTTGTTTTTTTTATCTGATTCATGTTTTTAAAATAGTTTGAGGAGTTTCTCTTTTTGGAAAAAAATTATTTTTTTCTAACAGAGAAATTTTTATTTTTTAAACAGAGGAGCTTAGATTATTTAATTGATAAACGTTGATTGTTTTTATTGAAAAAAGTAGACTCTCAATGGTAAATGCATAATCTGGTATGCATTGATGTGTTTTTTTCTGATTATTCCTTTTTTTTTTATTAGTGAAAATATTGCTTATAATAATTTATGTTTTGTTATATACATATATATATATATATATATATATATATATATATATATATATATATATATATATATATATATATATATATATATATATATATATATATATATATATATATATATATATATATATATATATATATATATATATATATATATATATATATATATAAAATCTAATGAATTGCGTTTGTGGAAAAAACCGGCTTTTAAGGAACCTTTGTGTTTAATTTTAATAAAATTATACGCCCTTTACGTAAAGACCATTAAAATATTTTAGAAGAATGATTAAATGTTATTATTACTTTTTTAAAATAACAAATTTGTCAACTCGAATGTTGTTTGTTTTTTCATATTTAGAATATTGTTATTTATTTTACAGTTTTCGCTATTTAACTGCTTTTATTTTATCGGCTGATTTATATAGGAATTAGCGCAGAGGAGTGTACATACCATCGACTAACTTAAGATAGAACATGCTAGAACATACACCTACTGGTTTAAATAAGTAAAACATGTACGGAGTTTACATACATCAACTGAATTAAATTGGTAAAACATCCTGTAAGTGTAAATACATCAAGTGACTTAAAGAGTTAAAATATGCAGGGAGTCTATATACATCGACTGACTTAAATAGGTAGAACATAAAAGCAGTGCATCTACATCAACTAAGTGTTTTGGTTTGGGATGGCATCCTCTCATTTAAAAAAAAAATTTTTTAAGTTTTTAAACTTCTTTCTCATGTCACGATTGAATCCGTAAAATTATGACTTCGAAGTCAAGCTTTCGTGGAAAATTAGAAAAAAAAAATATTATTTGCGTTTTAATATACAGTAAAACAGTAAATTAAAACACAAACAATCTCTTGAAATTGAGAGACCATTCCGCTAGTAATCATAGTTTTCTGGAAACGATTTATAATTTCCTGGAAACTAGTCAAAATTTCCTGGAAACTAGTCATAATTTCCTGTGGGTAGTTAGTAATTTAATATAAAACTGAATTTCCTATAGCGAGAATTTCGCAAGAGATACTTTATCAATTTATTTTAAAAATTAGTTATTTAAGTGTTGTAGGAAGTCCTAGAGTTTTATCACATAGCACAGCAAAATGGCATTCAACCAGGAAGTTTACGACTCCTTCTTTACAAATAATACATTTATGGTCAGAGCCAGCTTTGATCCACAAACCTCCAGTTCCGAAACCAGAAGTCTAACCACTAAACTACGGCTTCTATAAATACTAAGTTAATGGTTGAAAGGCTAACAACCTTAGAAAACCAGATTATCAATGATATGCAGGGGTGTTGAGTGGAATGGGAAGTTTCTTCAATTGAAATTTGAAATTTAGTTTTAAGGAATATACCAATATATTGAACATATGAAAACAAATCATAAAATAAAATCAAGATACGTTAATACAGAACTTTTATGGATTAAAGTAAATTGCAAGCATAAGATTTTGTTAAGAATGATAGAGACTATTTGAAAAAAAGTTTAATAAAATTGTTACTATCAGGAAAAATATGTTAACATTTTGAAACGAGTAATGGAAAGTAAACCGTAAATCACTATATAAAGATAAAGAATCTTTTTTGAATAAAAACATAAAAATTTAGTTCTGTTGCTTGAAACATGGACGGCTTTTTTTAGTGTAGGGAAAAGATATAAGTGAAAGTCTGTCAAGCATTTTTATAGTGATTGCATATTTCATTCACAACAAACCAAGCATCAATCGGTTATTTTCAATCAACAAAATACTAGCATAACCCAAAACAAAGACGCCACAATCTATCGTTCTGCATATCAACGAAAAGATTAGTTGCTTCAAGCTTGTCATCCTTTACAACAGGTTTAAAGAGGTATTTTAAACATGTTTACAAAAAATATGTTAAGTTGGTGCGCAAGCTGTTGCACATTGAAACCCTGCCACTTAAAGTAAATGCTTATAACGAATGACAATTACCAACGTGCAATAACTGAAGATGGTCGTAACAAATAGAAAGCATGCCAATTTCTTTTAATGACAGTTAAATAATAATTGGTACGTTTTAAGGCTACTAAGACCTTTAAAAATTAACTTTTGTCCTGCGTCAAAAAGATTCTCGTTTAAGCTAAATCTTTACTTTTAAGGATTTCCTTATCTTCCTTTGTGACCACATAGAGCTCATTCTTGAGCCATAAAAACATAACTTTTAAGAACAAGTTATGTTTTTATGTCAAACAAAAGTGTGTTGACTGACACACTTTTGTTTTCCATAAGATTCAATCTATAGTAAACCAAAATTATTTCCAAGGAGATAAGATCTCTATTTTTCATCACCAATGTAATTGAATAGTTGGCTTAGTCCACTAAATTTTTCATGTGAGCTTTAATCTACTTGCAGCATTTTTATTGTTATTATGATTGGAAGAAGTAAGACAAGACTCTATTGTTGCGCGGCATAAAGCAAAATTATCTTAAGTATTTTGTCTGGTGCACATTATCAAAATATTTGCAGATATATATATATATACATATATATATATATATATATATATATATATATATATATATATATATATATATATATATATATATATATATATATATATATATACATGTATATATATATACATATATATATATATATATATATATATATATATATATATATATATATATACATATATATATATATATATATATAGATATATATATATATATATATATATATATATATATATATACATGTATATATATATATATATATACATATATATATATATATACATGTATATATATATACATATATATATATATATATATATATATATATATATATATATATATATATATATATATATATATATATATATATATATATATATATATATATATATGTTAAAGCATTTAAAATTACTGTTATTTATCAAAATAAAAATTATAAATAAAAAATAGCTCTCTAGGTAAACTTTTTTTAGAAAATTTTGAATTAATAAATTTCTTTTTAGGTGTTTGGCATAATGAATAAATCCCAAATAACTTCAAGTATTTTTCTTTCTTTGATACTCATCGTTTCGGTTGTATTAAACACAACAGCTAGTTATATTATGTTGTTTAAAGTAAAGAAAAAAGAACTGATGCATTTATTTATCATCAGTCTCTCAACAACAAACTTGCTGGAATCTATTGTTGGAATAACACCTCAGATAATATTTTCAGAGCAATCATTATTGAGAAAAACTCCACTGTGCATATTCAGCGGTTTTGCAGTTTTTGGATTTGCTGTAACAAGTATAACTCACATGTCAGCATTTTCTTTGATTAGAACTGTCATTGTAAAGTACCCAATTTATTATTTTCAAAGGTACAAAGCGTTTCATTATAAAGCAGCGTTGATTTTAAGTTGTTATGTTTATGGTTTTAGTTGGGCAACGTTTCCTTTTATTGGTTGGTCAAAATACGAAGTAGATCTCGATAAAAAACGCTGTTCATTAGATTGGAAGTTGAGTCAATCCGAGTCTCCATCTTTTTTTCTTGCAATTTTAATCTTCTGCAATATTTTGCCTGGAACTGTAATAGCATTAGGGTTATACTTCAGCACAAAGATAATTCATCGTCGAAAAGCTTGCAAAACTCGCCAGGATAAAAATAAAACACTAGATATTTTAGAAATGGAGTATTTAAAAGTAAATTTTTTATCAGCCATATTATATTTTGTCATTTGGACACCCTATGCAATAGTTAGCATTTTGACATTGCTAAAAATCACCGTTCCAGCTTATTTAGTGACAGTCTCGGCTTTGTTTTCGAAACTATCTACCATTTCTAATGTTCTTATTAATTGCTTCATTAATAAGTCTTTTCAAAAGCATTTGCTTAATTTAAGATTGATTCGGTTTTTGGCTAATACAAATTTTAAAAGACGCTTGAAGAACCATTCTTCAACCAGCTGCCATTTTTTTAAGTTAGAACAAAAATAATGTTTAACTTTTGCAACTTTAGATCCACAATAATTATAAACTTATAATATAGATTTATACAATAAAAGTGAACTACATTTTAAACATTACTCCAAATTTTTTGTATATAGTGTAGGTATTTAATTAAAAAATAATTTTTTATGAACACTTTAAGAGCACAATATTTGTTTGTTGTTGTTTTTATTATTGTTGATATTGGTTATTATTAATAGTAACCTTAGTTACCTAAATTATTCAAACTTTTACATATTGAAGATGTATTTTATTAAGATATATTTATAAAATATATGTTAGGAAATAAGTTAAATTAAATAACTTTGCAGTTAAATAAATAAAATATTTAAAAAATTTTTAAATATGTATAGTTTTGATTTCGTTGCAACATACATTAACTTATAGTTAAAGCAAATTAAAAGCCAATTGGTTTTGATTTGCTTAACTATGTTTATGGCTGGTATTTTAACCGCTGCTCTGATATTTGAGCGTTATGTTAATTTTTTGTGAAGTAAAAAGTTTCGAATAGTTATTTTTATTAAACTTGTCTGTTACAATATGGTGTTATCTTAATTATCTCAAATATTAAAATTTTTTGGATCAAATCTTATTTCACAATAAAAAAATTAAAACATATTTTTTATTTAATTTTTCTCAAGTTAAAATTAACAACCACTTTTTAATTTTTTTCCATATTTTTTGATGACTTTTTATCTCGTTTAGTTAGATTTAATCTTAGCTTGTCTCACCTGCCAAATTCTGCGAATATTTTTATGTTATTTTATGTAGTTATTAGGATCATTTGCTTTATTTATTCATCAATAATATTTGCGCAGATTAAAAAAATATCAACAAAATTATCGTAATATACTTCAAACTCTAAACTCTGTTTTAAATACTTTGCAAAAGCTATATCTTTCATCAATTTAAAGCTTACAGTTTATTACAAATAATATCAAATGTTGGTTTACTGGTATTTCCTTTATACCAGCTTGTTAAAGGCGATGTATTTATAAAGCGTATTTATACACCGGACATGTTATTACTGAAAACATTTTTAAAAGAAGAACCCTTCTTAAGTCTACGACATCGAGCACACAAAAACAACTTTTTTGCGGTGTCACCTTATTAGGTCGGGTCACCTCATTTTGGCTTTTCAAAAAATATTTACAAAACAAGATGATTTTAAAATTTATACATTTTTTTAAAGTCCAAAATTTTGTTGGTTTTAATTATACACCCTTGCTTTTAATAGTTCGTCATTATGTCAATGATGTCATTATATCAATGAAGTTATTATTTCAATGAAGTCATTATGTCAATAAAGCTACTTTTAAGAATAATTACTCAGCATTATTTTTATACTATAGTAGCTATTGCTGTCAAATTGGAAGTGTAACAAAGGTCAAAGTTTGGCAGTGTAACAAAGGTCAGAGTTTGGCAGGGTATCAAAGGTCAAATTGGCAGGGTAAAAAAAGGTCAGAGTTTGGCAGGGTATCAAAGGTCAGAGTCAAATTGGCAGTTATCACATTATCAAACTTCCTTCTTTTTTTGTCAATCTATTATTATAACCAAATACTAGCTTTTCTGTTTATACAGATATTTCAAAACTTCAACTTTTCCGAGGCTAGAAAACTTGTAAAAACATATTTTTTATTTATACTTATATATATATATATATATATATATTTTTATAAACTTGTAAAAAAAAAAAAAAATTTAATCGATATTAAGGATTTTTATGTTCAATTGATATCAGATAATTTGTCTTTCAACCTATTTGACTTAATTGACAACCTATTTCAAAATAATTTGCTCCATAGACGCAGCGAGGTGTACGTACATTGACTGATACAGCTTTAGACAGAGCAAAATGTACATTGACTAAGGGATAGGCTTTTGACTAGGGATAGACATTGACTAAGGGATAGGCTTAGGCAAATATTTATTTTTGTACATATATAAAAAATTACTTCTTTTTTTTTTTTTTTCCTTTTCAAAAATTTAAAAAACTTTACAAAATACATGCCTGAATAGACGTAGTTGTTTAACTCAATGGAAACTTTTTTTTTAGGTGCTCCAAGAAGTCCTAAATTAGTCGTTTGTGTTATAAATTGATGTAAATCTGAAAATGCAAAAGTAAAACTAAAAAAGATGCTTCAATAAAAATAGTCATTTTAGACAGATGTTGTTTACCATCCGTTTAATGTATTGTAGAGGATAATCTAGGCATAGACTTTATAGATAACCAAAACATTTTTGTTTACTACACGTGCACGCCTTCTCTATCAAATATAGACTGGATTGGATCAGAGGCAATTTTTTGAATAAAATGTGAAAGGAAGCGAGTGAATTAATAAAAAATACCAACTGGCTTCTAAAAAAAAAGAGATCCTCAAAACTAAACTTTATCCGACTGAATTGTGTTCAAGACTAGCCAACTAAATTTGTAAAAAAACAGAATATATTTTGAAAATCATCTTCTTTGGGGGAGGAAGGAAGGGGCTGTGAACCTCCCCACCCTCACCCCCGTAAAATTATCTCTGTGTTGAATGACAACTTATGTTAAATTATTACTTGTTTTCATCTACTCAGGTTTTGCCTGTGTTTCTTTGTTAATGGCTATGCAACTCTTTCTGTGAAGTCTGTGGTAGCCCTCAGAAAAACGCACGCCGTCGATTCTGTAAAATTGTGAATTACTAATGTTCAAGTAGTGTCTCTGATAGTGCTTTTAGTTTGAATTGTCGAGGCTACACTAGAAGCTCTTTGTTGTTACTTTGAATTTGAGTTTGGCTTTAAATTTAAGTTGATTAGCAAAGGCAACTGCACAACTTGTTGCTTGGGTACTTTATTTGGGTACTTTCTTTGGGTACTTTCTTTGGCCAAATTCTCTAATAACTTAGAATAGTGAAAATCATTATTACTGCCAAATTGTTCTAATCTTTTTTAAAGTGTCGTGATATTTAAAATAAACTTATTTAAGCCTATCTTTTTTTTAAATTTACCAGACCTACACGTTTTTTGCTAGACTAATTTGAATTTGGTTGTTTTAATTGATTACAGTGGTTATTGTTCTTTAATTCAAAATCAGTTTTAAATTCTCAGATCATTTTTATGCACCTTTCACTTTCACTTTCATTTTCTTTTAAAGTTCTCTTTAAATGTAGCTTTCGATTAAATTAATTAAATATTTTCTTTTTATTCATCAGCCAATATTAAGTTATTTATGACTTAAATCTTCTGGATTCAAGTGGACATGAAAACATTTTTTGTATGTTAAAAGTCAAACCTTAATCTACCTCATGGTATTTTATTGATGGTGTTCTATTGATCGTGTTCTATTGTGGTGCTTGCATATTTGATTGCAATCATTTTTTTATCAACTTCGTAAAAGCAACTTGAAAATAATTAATAATTAAACAACTTAAGAATAAGATTTTTTTGAGAACAAACATCTTAACTATCATTGCAAGAAATCGATATAACTAAGTAATCATGAAACTAAATATTGTTTGACGTTAAGGTTCATTATTCTCTCGAAATTTCAAACTTTATTACAGAAGTTTGTAGAGACTTTTGAAAAATATTTTACAGTATTATAAACAAAGGCAAGTATAACATCCTATCTTTCATACATAAAGATAAACCATTGTTAAAAATGTTTGAAATAAGTTACAACCCGCTCAACTTTGGTCAAGTTCTAAAAATTGACCAAATAAAATTAACTGTTTTAATTTTCTATTTATCAACAAGTCTTTTTAGATTAGTTTTCCTATTAGTTTTTATTTTCTGCAACAAATAGAAAAACTTTTTGCCAAGACGCATTGTTGCATTTTGTGTTGTTATCGACTTCGACTAAATCGACATTTTAGTCAAAAGTCGAAATTAGTCGACTAAGAAAAAATAAATAGTCGATTTAATCAACTATAGACTTCCTACTAATCGACTAAATGTAAATTTAGACGAGTAAAAATCTCAAAATCCTTTTATCTTGTTATTCGATTTAACTTTCCAACCTTTTATTATTATTTTTTTTGTTTAAAAACAAAAGCATGTACTATAATTAGAGATGTCATAAATAGTGATTTTGCCGAATGCCGAATATTCAGCTAGACACTCGGCCGACGCTCCAAATATTTGGATGAATATTTGGTGACACTTTCCTATTTTTAGGGATCCTACCTGATTCATAGAAGTGCATATGGTGGGTATACTGGCAAAAGACGTTAAGTCAAAAATTGGTAGTTTTGACTTAATGATGCAGTATTGTAAAGTTTACAACGCTCTACAAACGAGTCAAATGAAACATCTTTAAAGATGTTTTAATGTATTTTTATTACCAGAAAAAAGTATTTCTCTGGTAATAAAATTATATTTAAGGTGAACTTATAAAGCGGATGTTTTATTTAGACTAAAAGCTTTTAAGTTTAAAAAAAAAAAAGCTATAAATATTTTCTTAAATAAACACTTAACATTATAGTGTATTTAAATGTCAACACCAAATGTATTTTAATAAGACTATAAAAGTTTCAAATTGGAAGAAAACTTGTTTGATTGATTTCTTTTAACAAAAAATTTTGAGTTAATGTTTTTTGCCGAAATACCCCTATATGTTTTCGGTATTCTGGCAAAAGTGTTGGTCTGCAAACGCGAAACATTATCCTAACAGAACTTGCTAAAAAAAAATTATTATTTGCTATTGGCAATATACAAAGTGAATGGGTATCTTAGGAAGTATGACATCTCTAATTATAACTATTACTTATATTTTGTTTACTCTCATAACGTTTTATCTAAGTGGTGTGAAGACCGTTTTTTATCTAATAGGTAATAATACCGTAAGGACTTCTGGGAGCACCTTAGTAACTTCATAAAAAAAGGAAAACAATTATACTTATTTAAACAATTGGTAATCTATTTTCATTATTTTATTTTCTTTTGTTTACTCGAGACTTTTGTTTTTCATAAATACTTTTATACAGGGCCACTTCAAGCTGGCTCAGGGCCCTGGGGCAAAATTAAGTTTGGAAGCTCAAAAATATAAATGTTTTTTATACAATCACATTGTAAATATGATTGTAAAGACTTTGATATATTACAAGTATTTAATGCAATTCCTAAATCAGTGGGGTCTGGGAATAAATTGTCCAGTTGTCTGAGCGGCCGTT